AAAATGAAAATGAATGGCAACAAAATGAAAATGCAACCTACAGAGTGGGAGAAAATATTTGCAAATTATATATCTGGTAAGGGGCTAATATCCAGAATATATAAAGAACTCGTACAACTCAACAACAACAAAAAATAACCCGATTAAAAACGGGGCAAAGGACTTAAATAGACATTTCTCTAAAGATGATATCCAGATGGCCAAAAAGCATGAGACAATATTCAACATCACTAATCATTAGGGAAATGCAGATCAAAACCACATGGAGATATCACCTCATATCCATTAGGATGCCTACTATTAAAGAAAGAAAATAACGAATGTTGGTCAGGATGTGAAGAAATTGGAATCCTTGTGCACTGTTGGTGGGAATGTAAGATGGTGAATCTGTTGTAGAAAACAGTATGCCAGTTCCTCAAAAAAGTAAAAATAAATCCAGAGATTCCACTTCTGGGCATATATTCAATACTCGAAAGAACTGAAAGCAGGGTCCCGAAGAGATATTTGTACACTCATGTTCACAGCAGCATCATTCACAATAGCCATGGGGTGGGAGCAATCCAAATGTCCATCAATGGATGAATGGGTAAACAAAAATGTGGTATACACATACAATGGAATATTACTCAGCTTTAAAAAAAAGGAAGGAAACTCTAAAATATGCTACAACATGGATGAACTTTGAGGACATTATGCTTAGTGAAATAAGACAGTCACAAACAAGTGATTCCACTTATTTGTGGTACCTAGCATAGTCAAATTCTTAGAGACATAAAGTAGACAGGTGGTTGCTAGGGCCTGGGGAAAGGAGGAAGAGGGCATTTGCTTAAAGGGTTCAGAGTTTCAGTTCTACAAGATGAAAAGTTCTGCATATTTGTTGCACAATAATGGGAATATGCTCAATACTACTGAACTGTACACTTAAAAACGCCTAGGATGGTCAGTTTTATGCTCATTTTAGCACAATTAATTTTTTTTAAACAACAAAAAAGCAGAGGTAAAAAAAAATTTTTTTATGGTAAATCTCCCAATTTGCATATGTTGGCAACTGTTTTGATCCTGTAGTTGCCTATCTTATGGCGATTTCCCCATCTTTCATAACAAATAGCTGAGCCCCAAAGGTATCTCAGTGACCAGCCCTCCAGCACATGACTCAGGTAAAGCCTAATTGGTTTAAGTCAATCATAGCAGTCTCATCCTCCTTGCTGGTGATGGATTTAGAGGTGGGCATGTGACCCAGTTCTGACTGATAAGGTGTGAGGGGAAATCTTCTGGAGGTTTGTAGGAAAGGTTTTGTGGCTCTGAAAATGAAGCATACTAGGGAGAAATGGTCCTATTCCATTTCTGGACATTGATTTACATCAGCATAAGATATCTGGAGCAGCTGCGGTAATTTTCTAACCCAAAGGCAGCCATAGGCAGACCAGAAAGATGGAAAGAATCTGGGGTCTCAGTGTCACAGGGCTGGACACAGCCTTCTTGCCTCCAGACTTTCTGTTATGTGAGATCTTCCATGCCCTTATTGTTTAATCATTGTGAGTTGCAATTTACAAGTTGCAGCTTAGAAGATCATAAGTGATACAGAGGAAAAAAAGCATACAGATCAAATAAAAGAAGTCTGAGACTGAATCTGATCCAGAGGCAGGCGACTTACTACCCCAGGTGTTTCCCTAATCACTTGCATTAAGCACTAATTCTTATGGGAGTTCCCCCTGCAAGTCAAACTCAGAGCCCCTACCCTCCTTTCTCCATGGCAGAGGCCTCAGAGAAGGCCTAAGCCATCACTGTGTCCAGCATCAAGCATCAGACTACAGTGATTTCCTCTAAGATGTCCTTGGTAACGTTGCTGAACAAGTTCAAGTACATCTGCATCTCTGGTTGCCCGTTTCTGAAAATGGTTCTTGCTACTGCCAGCCCTGTGACTGTCAAATACAGCAGTCATCCTCCTTATCCCTATAATATTCTTTGATATTAAATCTGCTTTTTCTGATATTAATAGGGCCACACCAACCTTCTTTGATTCGTGTTAGCATGGTATATCTTTTTCCATCCTTTTACTTTTAGCTTACTTGTAGGCTTATATTTAAGTGGGTTCCTTTTAGGTAGCATTTAGGGTCTTGCTTTTTTATCTAATCTAACAATCTCTGCTTTTTATTTGCAGTAGTCACTTTCTAGTCATCTGCTTTAAAAAGAAAAAAAAAAAGCTGTTCTTCTTTCTGCACCTAGGAATAGTATTTTTCCTAACACAACATTTAATAAAGAGTTGTCATTCCTTACATAAATGTACATGGTGATAGCAGGGGGGTTGGAAATGTGGCAGTGCCCGGCAAAGATGCCTGGGGATGGGATGTGATGGGGCAAGTTATAGTAGTGAGAACTGCCAGTTGAGTTTTGCAATAGTTTAGCTGGTATACAGAGGACCTGAACTTCAGGGCCTCTGAACAAGGTCCTTTCTACTGGAAGAAGAAACAGGAGCTGGTGACACGTTAGTTACAATCACCAAGACTTCTCTTTCCTGGTCTCTGCATCTTAATCACCCTCTTTCTTGAAATTATGCAAAGAATAAAAAAAGTTCAGAGTGTCTGAGCTGGTAAGAATTTGGAACAATTAGTCCAATCCTTCCTTTTACAGTTGAGAAAAAGGAAGTAAGGAAAGTGAAATATTATGCCCCAGGTCTTGCCCCTGGCTAATGGTGGTGCTTGGAATAGGGCCAAGTCCTTTCCAGATTTCCAGAAAGACTGGAGGACCTTACTGGTTTAATGTTAACCTTCGTATTCTCCTTAAAGGAAAAAAAAGATCCATCTGTTAATTTCTACTCTTTACCCTTGTTGTGATTTGCGGCCCTACTCAGAGAGTTGAGAAAAGAACCAACAACAAAACAAACAAGGGACATCATAAGAACAGAATGAAACACCCATACAGCAAAACAGATTCGCAGGGCAACTGGGACACATAGATAAAACAGTGAAAGAAAGTGAGACTAGAAGAGACAAGATTTTCCAGGGAGGTGCCTGGCACATGGGGTTATTAGCCCCATCTTCTGGCCTTTTCAGATATTGTCTCGAAGGTTAATTTTTGAACCAGTAAGCCTAACTGGAGACCTACTTGCTGGGTGAGTAGACCTAGCACGATGGGCCTCAAACTTTACTGTACCTGAGAATCACCTGGAGAACATGTGAAAATGCAGATTCCTGGGCCTTTCCTCCCAGCGAGGCAAGTAGATCAAAGAATCTGGACTCAAGAATCTGTGCTTTTATTTAGAAAGCTCCTCCGGTAACTGCAGGAGGACCACTGATCATGTATAAGAAACACTCCAGAAAGCAATAACACTTAGTGGCATCCATTGGCGTGGCATTCTGGGGAAAGGCCTATTCTGAGTAAAAGTTTGGAAGGAAATTGTCTAGATTTTAGCCTACTTGCAAGCTAACAAGTATCAATGGAAAAAATGCTGCCTGCCGTATCAGTAAACAAAGGATGTTGCAGCCATCAAGCCATCACATTAACGCTACCCCGACCTAGCAGTCAACTGCTGCAGCCACTGCCCCCCTCCCCCCAGTGATGCACCCCGAAGAGACTCAGGATGAGAAAGCACAGGATACTGACCTCAGATAGCCGAGGTGCACATCAATTAGTGAGCCCAGACTCTTGCATCTTCCCATACATAGAAAAGTGCTAAATTCCCTAACTTGAGATATCTGGTTTTCTTTAATTAACAGTAATCTTTTCAAGTTCCGACTACCTGGTCTTTGTTGCAAAAACTGTGTATCCTGGATCCTCTCCTACCTCTTTGGAGCAAGCAGTCCCTCAGGGCTTAAGTCCTCTGTTTTGTCCGCCAAATAAGACGTAATTCTCAACTTTTAAGTTGTCCTTTTTTTTTTTTCTAGTCAACACATGTTAGCATGCCACAGTTTCAGGAATGCTGGTAGATGAAAGTCTTGAGTCAACGGACAGTTTATTACTAACAGCAATGGCAATAGTCAGATTATAGTCATCTGGGCCAGTTTCCTGAGCCTTAATTCCCAAAAGCCTACATGATGTGGGCCACAGGAGGAAGCTTAGGGAACCCAAATCTTTTATAATGAAGAGTAAGAGTGCCAGATCTTTGTCTGGAGGGAGACATTATCTCTGCCTTCTGAGGCTGTTCATCATAGAAACGTCCTTGAAAAGACAGTACAAAAAAGGCAGTGTCTCTGGGTGGCATACAGAAACATGAGACCTGTGGAGACTTGTCTTCCAACGGAAGCCGGAAATGAAAGTGTTCCAGGGGAAAGGAATCCCACATCTGAACGTTGTAAAGTGATCAACGTGACACAGGTTGAAGAGACTCAGGCCTGCTGTACCTGGCAGGAACTTAGCCTGGATTTCAGTTCCCACAGCTAACTTTGCAGACGTCCTTGATCTCTGTTTCACTCACGAGGAAATAGGTTTTGGAAAGATGGTGACTTGCCCGCCTATCCAATCACGGGACAAGAATCGGATCTTCTCAGAGGTCTTCCACTGCCCCTTTCTCTCATTTGTTCCCGCCTTACCCCAGGGGGCAGGCACAAGACTGCCCAAAATAAGTAAGCAACTAATGCAAGAGCGGGCACAGATCTTTGAAAAGGCACTGCAAACTCTTAAGCGGTGAAAAAGCTAACGACGCCGTTAAGATCAGACTTCACTTCGGAACCACGAAGTAAGGAGCTCTGGCTTCTCCCACCTCACGGGCCTGAGATTTCCGGGGACCGCTTAAGGAAGGGGGCTCCTAGACTTCATTTCCCATTTGAAATCGGAAGTAGGTTGCAGTGACACGGAGGCCCTAGAACACTGCTGGGGTGTTTCTTCCCGGCTAAACTGGCTCGCCTAGGACTGACCGGGATTGCGGAGCATTCGGGGCCCACCTCGCTCTTCCGGGGTTTCCCGAGCCGACCGGAACTGGGGCGGAGCCTCCCGAGCGCGCCCAGCGCGATTGGCCGGCACCGCTGTCGCTCAGTGCTCCGAGTGGAAGGGGCTGACCGCCGGCCTCCGCAGGGTCGCGGGAGCCGCGCGGCGGATGGGAGGGGCTGGAGCGAAAGTTGCGGGCGAGGGATCCGGGATCCGGGGCAATGGAAGCGGGGCCCGCCTTGTCTCCCGGGCCTTCCCGCTCCTTCAAGGAGGAGCTGCTCTGCGCCGTCTGCTACGACCCCTTCCGTGACGCCGTGACTCTGCGCTGCGGCCACAACTTCTGCCGCGGGTGCGTGACCCGCTGCTGGGAGGTGCAGGTGGCACCCACCTGCCCGGTGTGCAAGGACCGCGCGGCCCCCGCCGACCTGCGCACCAACCACACCCTCAATAACCTCGTGGAGAAGCTGCTGCGCGAGGAGGCCGAGGGCGCGCGCTGGACCGGCCACCGCTCTCCGCGCCTCTGCCGCCTGCACCGCGGCCAGTTCAACCTCTTCTGTCTCGACGACAAGGAGCTGCTGTGCTGCTCGTGCCAGACCGACCCCCGGCACCAGGGGCACCGCGTGCAGCCAGTGAAGGACACTGCCCACGACTTTCGGGTAAGCGCGGCCGCGTGCTGGAGGTGGCCGAGCGCGCACGTGGACTGGAACCCAGCACCCTGACCCCGCTGCTCCTGCACTCCAGCCTGCCAGAGCTGGTGTGCCCGGTCCCGCCCCTCTTCCCCCTGCCAGCTTGCTGGTGCCTCCTCGGGACCCCCACTCCCTGCCGCTGGTAACATACAGAGGCTGCCTTCTTCATCAAGGCCGGCCCAGGGGCCTGAGATGGAAGGAGAGAGAATGTCAACAGGAAGTGTGAGAACTGGGGTTACAGGATGTTCTCAAGACAGCTCCCCTGCCCCACCACCTCTGAAGGGCTGAGGCCATGCACCCTTTCTACCACAGGTGTGTGGCCCATGCCCCTTTTAGAAGCACAGTTGTGGGTAAGCCCGCAACCCTGGAACTTGGCACACTCAGAGTGGAGGTGCAGGACCCCAAGACCTGGCCAAAGATGTGGAGCCTTTTAGATCTCCCCACATCTTTCCCCTCCTTCCCGGGCTGGAGCCCTGTATTGTGTAGCTGTGGGGAGGCCTCTGGCCCTGGCCAGCTGTTCCCTTCTGGATCACTCTCTCAGCATCCCCCTAGAGTTCCAGTGGCTATAAATAAGGTAAGGAACAATTTTAGGGCAAACTAACATGGAGAAGTTTTTGGCAGAGGAAGGAAGAATGATCAGGAAATAAGGATTAGCCATCTCAGGGGTTTTCAGATTTTTTTGACCTCAGCTAGCACATGGTATAAGACATGTTTTTTTTTCCATTGAGACCCAGAACTGCCACATGCATGTATGGTGTCTGTATCAGCTGAAACAAAAGTTCTGTGAAAATGTCTATTGTACTCAGGTATTTTCTGTCGTTTTATTTTAAAAACTGCACAGGGCGTAAAATATTAATTTATTTCATCACCAACTAAAACCTACTAATCCATAGGTCAGACCCACAGTTTGGAGAGAACCCAGCTCTGCTAGGCTGAAGCTGAGTGTACTGAAAAGGAGGCACTATAGGAATGCCTGTCTCCAGACACTGTTTTAGTTTGTTTGCTTTAATGCTTTGCTTAAGAAATATCAAAAGTTGACAGTTCCATACACATTTTGACAAAGTTCAAGTGAAGGGGAATGTCACCAATATGCTTGTTTGAACCCTACACTAGCTCGGCAATGGGATAAGCCTGTCAACTGCTGTCACAGTGGTCCACAGCAGTGCTTTTTCTCATTCATTTCCCTTGGTAGAAATGCCAGGTCCTGATTTGGGACAGCTAAAGTAAGTGCTGGGCATTCTGGGGGCTGGGGTTGAGGTAGGGGGCCACCATGGATTGAGTCATGACGAATCACCGTGGGACCGCCAGAAGTATAGATCAGGAAGATGGGCAGGGGTCAAGGCCAAGAGCATTAAGGCAGAACCCAGGGCTGAGCTAAGCCAGGATTCAAGATCAGTGAGCCAGGTGCCCCGAAGTGCATATGGTCTAATGACACCTTTCTGTTTATTCAGCAGATGCCTCGTACTGCTAGGCCCTGGGGATACCGCAGGACACGAGCTAAACAGTAATTCCTACCTTCAAGGAGCTTCAAGCAGAGACTGAGGGGTTAGGAAGTGTTAGCCAGGTGAAGGGGGGTCAGGGAGGGTATTTCAGGCAGAGGCAGCAGCATGTGTAAGGGCCCAGAAGCAGTGACTTTCCAGGCACTGAGAGAATGAGGATGGAGATGCAGAAGGAGCCAGGAGGCCCCAGTCTTGGCCTTTGTTCTAAAGGCTGTAGGGAGCAGTTGGAGGGTTTTAAACAGAGGAATGATGCTGACAGACCAGTGGGCACTCAGGGCTATGTCTGAGGGGGTGAGGAGTCCAGTCCGGAAAGATCTGAGGAGTGTGCTCAGCCTGGTGCTGGGTGGCATCACTCATGCGTTAGACAGCTGTGCACCAGGACCTATCCTGGGTGCTGAGGCTGCAGAGGTCAGTAAGCCAGAGCCCCTGGCCCATGGAGCTCGCACTGTAGCGTGGGGACGTCAGCCAGCAAATAGACAAGTTGTCGTTCTGCATGTGTGGATAGGCGGTGGTGGTGGGGACAGTGTGGGAAGGCTGGACAGGTGAGAAGGGGCTGATGGGGAGCCCTGAAAGCTGTTCCATAGGGGCTTTGCGATGAGATGTGTACATTCGAAAGATTACTTTGGCAACCGTATGAGGGACTCCAGCAAAAATAATCATAGCAGCCAACACTTTTTGACCACTAAACTAGGTACCGTGTGCTCTTAAGTGTTTACTTGTCAACACACTTAATCCTCACAAAAACCCTATGAGGTTGTGTATTAGTTTCCTCTCGCTGTTGTAATAAATTGCCACAAACTTTGTGGTTTAACACAGCACAGATTTATTAGCTTACGGCTCTGGAGGTCAGAAGTTCCGACATCAAGGTGTTGGCTCCATGCCTTTTGGAGGCTAGGAGAGGATTTATTTCATTACCTTGTCCAGCTTTTGGAGGCCCCTTCCTTCATCTCTGAAGTGCATCATTCCAACTTCTGCTTCTGTTGTCCCATTGTCTTCTCTAACCCCCCTGCCACCCTATCGTAAGGACCCTTGTGATTACAGGGGGCCCCTGCAGACAATCCAGGATAATCTCCCCATCTTAAAATCCATATTTTAATCACATCTACGGAATCCCTTTTGCCGTGTAAGGTAACACGTTCCCAGGTTCTGGGGATTAGGATGTGGACATCTTTGGAGGGGCTGCTATTCAGCTTGCTACAGGTGGGTACTGTTCTCCCCATTTTACAGGCAATGACACTGAGTCTTACAGAGGTTAAGCAACTTGTCCAGAGTTAGAGCGTTTACTGTACAGTTCACCTGGAGCCTTGCTCTGCTCCTACTCTGGTCATGGACCTTAACCTCTGTAATTCTTTTTTTTTGCGGTACACGGGCCTCTCACTGTCGTGGCCTCTCCCATTGTGGAGCACAGGCTCCGGACCCGCAGGCTCAGCGGCCGTGGCTCAAGGGCCCAGCGGCTCCGCAGCATGTGGGATCTTCCCGGACCGGGACACGAACCCGCGTCCCCTGCATCGGCAGGCGGACTCTCAACCACAGCGCCACCAGGGAGGCCCTGGTCATGGACTTTGATAGAAGCTTCTCTGGTCCCTGCTGGCCCTCTGTTCCGGAGCCGTGAGGGCAGCTGCCTCTGTGTTGTGGGTCCTTAGAGGCTTGTGTGGATGAGAACCATCGTCAGTGGGCCGACAGGTGTGGAGTGAGTGCCTGCTCTGTGCCGGGCACAGTGTGTGCAGAAAAGGACAGGGTGGTTCAAGCCCCTGCCTTCTTGGAGTCAGGTGGGCATGATCGAATACTAATCACACCAATCAATGGTCAGTCACGGGCAGTGAAAGCGGTACCTCTAGGATTAGAACGCAGGTCTCCTGACTCCCAGTCTGACGTTTGGCCCGGCTTGCATCTTCAGAGCGAACCAGCCCTGAACCTCCACCAGGTCCCAGGCCTCAGAACTTCCTTGTCTAGACCCCTTTCTTCTCCATCTCACTGGACTGATATGACGGCCATTCTCTGCCCTCCAGCTTCTTCCTGCCCCAGACCCAGCCTCTTCCCCTTCTGGGGTTACCGTCTTAGAATCAGTCTAGCCAAGCCTAATTGAGGTTTATTCCAGGCATGTCTTAAGTCTTCCCCCTTCCAATCCTTCCCCCTTTTCCCAACTGCTCAGCCTCATCCTGGATCTCTCCTTATGGACCAGGCCTTCCCAGATCCAAGTTGTACTGGAGGATGTTTAATTGCCTCCTGGCAAGGCCCGTGACCAGGGGCAGGATGGGGTCTTACCGAGCACCGCCCATTGAGGCTCCTGAGTTAGGGGGCCTAGCTCTAGTTGCCGTGGTAGACACCTGCTTCTTAAGGAGGACTGACCACCAAGGGAAAGGAAGAATGGGAGCCTGGATTGGAGTTGGAGAAGAAGGGCATCTGAATGAGATCAGGTTGTCCCAGATGCATCTCTGCAGTCCATTTAAGAAACCCGGAAAATAAACCAGGAGGAGAGTTAAGTTACCTGGGACCAAGTGACACTCAGTAGTAACGAGCTAACACATGCCTGGTGCACTCTTATAAGTACTGAACGTGGATCCTCACAGCCATCCTCTGAGCTAGGTAGTGTTCTCATCCCTCCTATCCGGATGAGGAAACTGAGGCGCCGAGAAGTTAAGGAACGTGCTCAAGATCACCCGCTACTAAGTGGAGGAGCTGGGATTTGAACCTGGGTGGCCAAGTGCCAGAGCTCTTAGCTGCTATTTCAGTCTGCCTGAAAAACAAATGTTTGAAATACATAGGAAAAATGACACTACCTGGAGACAGATGCCAGGACATCCTGGTGATGGGCTAGGTGAGCATATGTACAGAGATAACTGCATTCTTCATTTTTATGGTGGCATTTGAGAGACCATGGGCACTTTCTTGCCTTTATCTTTCAGGGTTGGAGCCTGACTGCCCGAGAAAGAGCTTTTGCCAAAGTTCTCACCAGTGGTCAGTGAAAAGGACAAGGTACAGATCAGGCCTCCGAGCTCTCGATCCAGGAGGCCATGGGGTGTAGTGGAGAGAACGTCAACACCGAGTGTACTTGTCAACTGGGCAAGTGGTTAGTTGAGCATCTAGTTTGTGCTGAGACCTGGAGATGTGCAGTGGTTGAAACAGTCTCTACCTTTTCAGAGCAAGCCTTCATTCCGTCTGCAGTTTATGGAGCACTACTGTGCTCGGTGAGAGGACCAGGCAAGAGGACCTGCCCCCAGGAAGCCTGCAGCCTTTACAGGAAAGTGGTGATGCTGAATAGGAAGTTCAGTGGCAGAGGTGTCCACAGAGAGGCAACTAAACTCTACTGGGGAGGCCAAGGTGGCTTTCTGGAGGAAATGAAGAGGGCCTGAGCTTAGTTTTCAAGGCCACGTTGGGATAGTTGGGTGAAGCAGGTGGGAATCGGTCAGAAGCAGCAGTATATGTAGGGCCTCAGAGGACAGAGAACCTGGCTTGTGCTGGACAACCCTG